AATATGGGATCAATTAGCCTGATGAGTGCAACCAAGGGTGGGTAATCAGTGAGGGTTGTCCAGATGTTGATGTGGTTGGTTGGTAAGACCACCACCAGGGCTGGGAACAGTGGCTCACGCCTGCAATCCTAGTACTTTGGGAGGCCGAGGCTGGCGGATCACCTGAGGTCAGGAGTTTGAGACCAGCCTGGCCAACATGGCAAAACCCTGTCTCTACTAAAAAAATACAAAAATTAGCCGGGTGTGGTGGCGGGTGCCTGTAATTTCAGCTACTTGGGAGGCTGAGGCAGAAGAATCGCTTGAACCTGGGAGGTGGAGGTTGCAGTGAGCCAAGATCGCGCCACTGCACTCCAACCTGGATGACAGAGCAAGATTCTGTCAAAGAAAAAAAAAAAAAAAAAAAAAAAAAAAAAGACCACTACCAGGGCACAGACAGTGTCTCTGGACTGGAACAGTGCTGCTTGTCTCTAAGCCAAAGGGGGGTTCCTGCTTTCTCTCCCCATCCCAGGAGGAAACTGTGCTGAACTTTAGAAGGGGCTCTTGCAAGTGTTGACCTAAAGCTTAAGCTTCAAGAGTTTTATGGTAGGTTAGCCTTTACCACCAAGCTCAAAAACAATTGGCAAGTTAGATATTGGGCCTCAAATTTCTTGCTTCTCAGTATCTTCCTAAAGGTGAACCAAGAAAAAACATTGTAGGGGCCTGTGGGGAAGGGAGAATAATTAGTCCATTATTCTTCTGGATTCTTTAAACATCCATGGATGACATCCTGTTGGGTCTCTAGAGAACTACTGTCATTAAATTGTGTGTTGTCAGGCTATGCTTAGGAACCCCAATAGCTCCAAAAACTTTTCCTGGAGCCTAACATGAGGCTGTCATAGAGGGTGTCCTCTGTCATGATGACCTTTAATTAGCCATCATTTTTTAGACATCAGCGTTATGTAGCTTAAACCTATGCTTTCCATTAGAACGTTCTGTGTTCTATATTTATAATGTGTAACATGGTAGCTACTAACCACGTGTGGTTATTAAACACTTGAAAAGGAAAGTAAGGCTAAGGAACTAATTGAATATTTTATTTTATTGTAATTCATATGAATTACCATTTAAATAGCCTTTTGTGATCAGTGCCTACAGTATTGGATAGCTCAAACTCAGATTATTAAAACAGTGATAGCCAACCTGTATGTAAGAGACCTGCCTCACTCAGGTCAGCTCGAACTACGTATGGTCGGTTTCTGGTAGTCAAAGCGTCTATAGAATTTTCTGAACAGTTTTTCCTGCTCTGGACTAGGGGTCACTGGGGAGTCAGATTAGAAGGGTGTCATTAAAGAGGAGCAAGATATGGACTTGTGATAATTTTATCTTGGGAAAACTTCATTTAGAGGGGGTGCAATGGGAAGAAAAGTGGAATTGTGGGACCAGGTGACCACACATTTGCAGGTTGGTAACATTCATATAGGATTTGCAGAGGGAAGCAAAGTCTTCCACAGTCACTCACTGGAAATATAGTAGAGTAATTCTGATCTCTGTTAAATTAGCCAATATTTTGTCATGAGATTTAATCACATTATCTTTCAAGGATGCAGTACTTTTGGTAACTATGCCTTGTTCTCTCTGAAAAAGATATTTTGAAGATCAGTGAATACTGAATTAACTTAAAATAAGAGCAGTGTTCACTGATCCAGACTGACTCACAGAAATTAAAAAGCAACCAACCAAACAACCAACCAGAATTTAAGGTAGAGTATACACTGTGATCCCTTTATAAAACAAAAATTTTGGATAAAGGAAGGATTGGCAAGATGTGGATAATAATATGTTCTTCTTAGACTCTCTGCCAGCAACCTTATGTGTGCTTTGCATGTGCCATTTCATTGCATCTTGGTGACACAGCTAAGGGTTAGATATTTTCCATCTCCATTTTACAGATGGACAGATTGGGGCTCTTAGGACTTAGGAGATGCCCAGCATCACCAGGTCAGCAGGCCAGAGCTGGATTGAGTCCCAAAGTGGCTAGGACTCTTAACCCTAATACAGAGCTATTACCCCATGTGAATGGATACTATCAGGCTTTCTTATTTTGCTTATTTTTTTGCATATTGTAAGTTTTCATAAGTAAATATAGTTTAAAAAAATAGTAGGCAGCTGATATTTGAGGGATTTTGGACTGTTCAATGAAGATTTTCTTTGTAGGAAAAACTTATCAAATGTTAGAATTAATCTACTTTTTGCCAGCCTCTTCTCATCCCTATTTAAAAAATCTGAATTGTATCCTTACTATGTGCAAGGCATGGTGCTAGGTGCTAGGGTTCTGTGGCAAAGAAATCACATACAGTTTGTGATTTTATGGGACTTATCCTCTGAACAAAGGAAATACTAACTCAAACAATTATAAGAAAGTCTGATACGGTTATGGTAGGTCAAAGATAGGGCACTGCAAAAGACAGAGAGGGACCAATTCCGTCTGTAGTGAACTGGTGATGGTTCCATGGAAAGTTTAATTTAATAGAAACCTGGAAGCATGAGTGGGAGCTCATCAGGAGCATGGTAGGCTCATTAGAGACTGGGCAAGTGCTCATGCGTCTAAACTGCTCCTCTGGCCTCCACCTGCTACTATTTATCAGGCTCCCTTATACAGGGTTAATGAAAGGACTGAACTGAAAGACCACCATTCCAATTCGGAACATCTGGAGACATCAGAAGGACCATTAGAAGACCCTAAGCTTGGCTGTACATGGTGGCTTATGCCTGTAATCCAAGCACTTTGAGAGGCCGAGGGGGGAGCAGATCACCTGAGGTCAGGAGTTTGAGACCAGCCTGAACAACATGGAGAAACCCTGCCTCTACTAAAAATACAGAAAATTATCTGGGCATGGTGGTGCATGCCTGTAATCCCAGCAACTCAGGATGCTGAGGCAGGAGAATTGTTTGAACCTGGGAGGTGGAGGTTGTGGTGAGCCGAGATCACGTCATTGCACTCCAGCCTGGGCAACAAGAGCAAAACTCCGTCTTCATAAGAAGAAGAAGAAGAAAAAAGAAGACCCTAAGCTTCTAATTTTTTTTTTTTTTTTTTTTTTTTTTTTTTTTTTTTTACCAAATACTCTGAAATGAACTCCGCCAACTTATGAATACTCTTATTTTTTTGGTGGTGGAATTCCACAGGACTCCATTTTGTTCACCATTCTTGCAACATCAGTAAAATAACAAAGATGATTCTCACTCCCTCTTTTTTAAGAGAAAGAACTGGAACCCAGAATGAGTGACCCTGTGAGTTGCTGAGAATTTCTAACTTTTGCAGAGACCAAGTTCTTCCTTCCACATGGCGTTGTGCCGTCCTCCCAGTACCCCGAGGCATGATGCTTTCTTCATCTTTCGCATGAGGGAGGTGACTGTCTCAGGGGTGTACAGTGAGAAGACCAAAATCTCACAGAGTGTGAAGGGCTCAGCTTGACTCCCTGCCCAGGGTGCTGTCAACTGGACCCAGATGCTGGAAGAGCTTGTTTCCTGACAAAGCCTCAGATGTGAGTTCCCTGGGTTCCCCTTGGGCCATGACTTGGCTCCTTAGGTTGCTCTGTGTTGCAGAATTCATGCTGGACTGCACCCTGACATAGGGAGTGCAAAGATAGCCCTTGGAGGGGAATGATGGAGGAAGAGGCAATCAGACAATGGGAGTTCGTTCTGACCTTGTGGGAATGCAGTGCTCCTGGTGAGGCTAGAGGAAGAAAGTGAGATTCCCTTATGTGGGAATCTCACATAAGGAAGACCAGACCAAACCCTTACTTACAAAATGCTCTAGGAAACATGCCTCAATTGTCAGGCGTGATGACTTCTGAGTGCTTGCATTTGTTTCTGTAGAAGAAAAATATTTTCAAATATTAACTGGTGAAGTTTTATTTTTAGAGATATAATTTTTTCTTTCAATTACTTCCACCATGAATATTAGACCACGAAGCTCAGTTCTCTTGCCATAGGGAAGGCAAAATCTCAAAAAACTCAATGACACCAAAGAGTCATATTTATGCTTCTGCATCCCAATGTAGAGCATCAAAAGATGTGGAATTTAATTGCAGGGGCTAGTGGTTGGCTAATCACCAAAATTCACAGCAATTATGTTGGCAAGTAATGTTTTAAAGCTTCCATGGATCATCTATTTTAACCTTGCTATTATTGTTACAGTCTTAAAGATGAGGAAGCTGATGCCCAGGGAGAGGTTAATTAACTTGTCTAAGGTCACTCAGCTAAGAAGTGGTAGAACCAGGATTTGAGCTCAGGTTTGAGCTCATGCTTAATCACTCTGCACATTAACTCATATGCTGGGTATTCTGCTTGTGGTAGGGAATACAGCAAGGAGCAAGACTGCCAGGCTTCCAAGAGGCTCATTGTTGAGTCTTCCAATGTGGGTCTTTTGAAATTTCATCTGGGCCTTGCAAACAGGAAAAAACAAAAGTCCTTATTTTACTCATGAGAAAAAGAAAGTAAAAAAGAGGGGAATTGTCTTATTTAAGGTCATAGAAAGACACATTGCAAGATGGGATTAAAAACCATATGTCTTGGCCAGGCATAGTGGCTTACACCTATAATCTCAGCACTTTGGAGGGCCAGGGCAGGTGGATCACCTGAGGTCAGGAGTTCGAGACCAGCCTGGCCAACATGGTGAAATCCCATCTCTACCCAAAATACAAAAATTAGCTGGGTGTGATCGTGGGCACCTGTAATCCCAGCTACTTGGGAGGCTGAGGCAGGAGAATCCCTTGAACCTGGGAGGCAGATGTTGCAGTGAGCCAAGATCAGGCCACTGCACTCCAGCCTGGGTGACAAGAGCAAAACCCCATCTTAAAAAAAAAGGACACCATATGTCTCATCAGCACCCTCATGCTCTTTCTCTGCCCTGGGAGCACACTCCATTTAGCAGGTTTGGGGCTAGTGTTAATGTCTGGACAATTAAGCAAAACTTCCCTTGGGCTGGATCTCCAGAGCCTGAGAACACTGGTGGCCAAAGGATGGTGTCTTGTGAAAGGAGGGCAAGTGGGGAAGTGTAAAGCAAAATTTGCTTTTGGATTTTGTTGATACTTGCAGGTAAAGTGTCCCTGGGCTAAGGGTAGATTCTGGGTCAGGGGAATGTCTGTGGATAAAGTCATTGTGAGTGTGTTCAGAGAGGCAGAGTCAGCGATTCACAGATATAGTAATGGGATGCAGTGATTGGGAGAGGAGGGCTTTTCTAATCAGGACTTTTATGGAAATTATCCTTGGTCAAGAGAAGGGGCATGTTGCCAACATGGCCACCAAGGGAAAAAAAAGGAGAGATCCAGCACAGTTGCTAGTAAGAGACTCCTCTGTTGGGTTCCCACCAGCAGCTCTAGGATCAGGCCTGGATATGAGATGTCTCTTACCTGTTGGGCTTTTGAAATGTACCTGATGAACAGACCAGCCCACAGAAGGATGAACAGCAACGAAATCCTTTCTGGCAATCTTCCTGGGATGCACACCGTTGAGTACAGTTTTCAGGTTGTGATATGCAGGGTGGAGGTTCCAAGATGTACTCTGGAACACAACAAGTAAGAGAAGGGCCTCACCAACAGGCTGGAGTAATGTTCAGAACTCAGAAAGCCCAGGGAACTGCCAGGAAAGCTGCCACCCTCGTCTGCCTTGCATGGTTCCAGGGCGGTGGCATCAGGTTTTGTCCTCAGCTGCTGCCTTCCTCTGAGTTCTGAGCAGGGAAGTCAGGCATGGATATTTTTTGATCAAGAATAGAGTTTGGCAGAAACCCGCACCCACTGGTCATTCATCATCTTTGTAGGTCAGATGCCAAGTCCCCTAGGGCCATGGTTGGGTCCCTATCAATGATATTAATGGTGTATATGGTGAACAAGAAAGAGGTTTGTACAATCATTCTGCACTGACTCATTGTGTGGTCTTCAGCAAGTCATAGAGCTTCTCATTAACAACATACGTTACACTTAGGTTAACCTAATGTGGGTTATTTGTGTATAGGAAGAATGAATGAAAGAAAGATAAGTTTTGGCAAAGGATGAAGACCAAGCAGTAAACTGAAAGTACTGCATCAGAAAGCTGGGACCCAATTCACAAGTAAGTTCTGGGAGTGACTTCTTTCATGGTAAGAAGGGTGGAGATTTCAGAATGGGGTTCAAAGATTCAGCTTCTTTTTCTTCCTTGGTGTCTCCCGATCAGGAGGCCAGAGCACCAGGATGCCTCACTTTCTACTGTTGGAGGAGAATAAGCATCTTTATGTTGCCTTCCTATTTCCTCCCCTACCCTCAAGTATCTCAGTTCAAAGCTAAGACCTACCTGCCCTGGGAGTTTCTTCCCTAAGGCCACAACCCACAGTCTCCTTTCTATTCCTGAACTCTAAGGATGGGCCCCATTAACCCCTTTCTCCAAGCCCTTCCAGATCCTAATTTTTGTACCTTGTGACTTGCCCTTTCTTTGGGGGCAAAAGTCAAAAGTAGGGCATTCTATTGCCCATCTGTGGGTCTATTTCTATGCAGATATGTGTAATTAGACGGGAATCTATAGGATATTATGATTTGAAAGGAATGAAGGAAGAAAGAGGTTATGACTATAATTGTAGCAGCAAATAGCACCAGAATTGGGGGTAAAAGAAGCTGAGGTCCAAGCTGTTGACAATTTAACAGAGACTGGTAACTAGTACTCACTCTTGGCCTCTCAGCTATCCTATAGCTCACTGGGACACTGCAAGAAAGTGGAACTAGTCCACAATTTGAAGAGCTTGGGGCTCAATAGGACAGTTTAGGGATAGACACCATGATCCAGAGATCTCAGGGAGGTCGCCTTTTTCATGTTTTGACCCCTCTTCTGGGTATCTGGTCCCAACTCCACTCACATCACTTCCAGTCTTAGAAAGCCTCTTTGTGACTTTCCTCGAATTCTGATTCTCCAATTAACTCTACCCTGCACATTCCTATTTTCTTGAAGCTTGCTTAGTCCCTCTTAGTCCTACAAACCTGCATGCCCTTTCTGAAACTTCTAAAGCAGGACCTAGCCTCCCCAGACCCATGAGCTACCACACCTGTCCCTCTTCTGAGCCCCAGTATTCTGAAGATGTTTTCTCCATAGAAGAGTGGATGTATGATGAATAACAGTTCTTTTCCCATTTGGTATTGGTTGATGTCAACATTACGATAGCCAGAGGTCTTTTGAGTTGAGCTGGGCTGTGGTGGCTACTGAGATGGACTCTACGCTGTCCCATTGATGCGAATTACCAGTACCTCTGGCGTTTGAAAATGTGGAATAAAATGCAAGCCTTTTTCCCCCTAACTTCCAAAACATCCTCCAAGGCCAAGGTTATATAGATTTCAGCTTGCGTTCTACCAGCGTCATTGTCTCTCTGTTTTAATGCTTGAAAAGGGAGTCCAAGCATCCGTGAAGGAGCCATGGGAAGCAAGACTAAGCTGGATGATAAGGCTGATCACATTTACAGCATTTAATATGACTGAGCATTTACCATGGTCTAGTAAGCGTGAACTATGCCTGCATGCATTATCTGTTCTCCTCCAACTATCCCCATATAATCATATCCTTTACAAGGACAAAAGCCTAAGGCCCAGATACTTTGCCCAAGGTCACTCAGTAAGCAACAGAGCAGGGATTCAAACCTAGGTCTTGCCAACAATAAAGCTTGAGCCCTTGAACATGACACAGTATTTTTCCAAGAGGTGTGACAGACTATCAGCCCTCAGATCCTCTCCTGTCCACAGATGTTACTTCCCTCCCTGGCCCAGACCCAGCACCTACTCAGAAAACGCTGCTTGAGACTCCCAGGCACCGGCGGCAGTGCTAGGCAGAACACCACCAGGAACTGCAGAGGCAGCACGGGATTCATGGTGCCAGTGGGACAGGTGAGTAAGTTCTGGGCCAAGGATTGCTGGGTTTGACCAGGCACTGCTGTGAGGAGAAGAGAGGGAAAGAGGGCAAAGTAGAGGCCCGCTGTGACTACTAGCCTTTCACTGTGTACTCCAATCAAAAAGGCAGGGCAGAAATCCAAGCACCTCCCAATCACACCCACTCCAGGGCCACGTAGTGTTTTCATATCCCTCGTAACCCCCTAATCTTGATCTTGCTATCTCTCTCATATGTATGTAGATCTTATTCATGTCCCTTAACACTTTTTATAATTTTTCCCTGTGGAAATTGTATATATCTTTGCTATATTTATTCACAGAGTCTTGAATTTTTTTTTTTTTTTTTTTTTTTTTGAGAAGGAGTCTCACTCTGTCACCCAGGCTGAAGTGTAGTGGCGCAATGTCAGCTCACTGCAGCCTCCTCCTCCCAGGTTCAAGCAATTCTCGTGCCTCAGCCTCTTGAGTAGCTGGGATTAGTAGGCGTGCGCCACCATGTCTGGCTAATTTTTGTAATTTTAGTAAAGATGGGGTTTCGCTATGTTAGTGAGGCTAGTCATGAACTCCCGACCTCAGGTGATACGCCCATCTCAGCCAAAGTTCTGGGATTACAGGTATGAATCACCGTGAAGTTTTAAAAGGAAATTGTAAATGCTATCATAACTTTTCAATTAATTCCTTTACTATAAAGACACATGCACACACATGTTCATTGCAGCACTATTTACAATAGCAAAGACATGAAATCAACCCAAATGCCCATCAATGATAGACTGGATAAAGAAAATGTGGCACGTATATGCACCATGGAGTACTATGCGGCCATAAAAGGAATAAGACCATGTTCTTTGCAGGGACGTGGATGGAGCTGGAAGCTATTATCCTTGGCAAACTAAAACAGGAACAGAAAACCAAACACCCCATGTTCTCACTTATAAGTGGGAGCTGAACATGGACACAGGGAGGGAAACAACACACCCTGGGGCTTGTCAGGGGGAGGGAGAGCATCAGGGAAAGTAGCTAAGGCATGCTGGGCTTGATACCTAGGTGATGGGTTGATAGGTGCAGCAAACCATCATGGCACATGTTTACCTATGCAACAAACCTGCACATCCTGCACATTTACCCTGGAACTTAATATAAAAAATATAGCTCAATCATATAGAGTTTTGTGTAATGAATTGATAAAAATAATTTATAATTAGGCCGAGCGTGGTGGCTCACACCTGTAATCCCAGCACTTTGGGAGGCTTAGAGGGGTGAATCACTTGAGGTCAGGAGTTTGAGACCAGCCTGGCCAACGAGGCAGAACCCCATCTCTACTAAAAATACAAAAAATCATCTGAATGTGATGACACGTGCCTATAATCCCAGCTACTCAGGAGGCTGAGGCATGAAGTGCTTGAACCCAGGAGGTGGAGACTGCAGTGAGCCAAGATCGCACAACTGCACTCCAGCCTGGGTGACAGAGTGATACTCTGTCTTAAAAAGAAAAAAAGGAAGAATTTATAATGAACACATCTATTATGTGCAAATAGCCAGTTCTCAAAAGGGCTCATGTTATAATGTCTGGCTTCACAACTGTGGAAATTGGAGTGGCTTCCTGTAGCTACCCTCACCAAAAAAGAAAAAAAGAAGAAAAATCATGTCGTTTCTTTTTGAGAAATAATGACATTGTAAATATTTGCATAACATTTACAATGGTAACAAAAGATAGGGATTCAAAAATGAGAAAATAAAAGATTATTTACATTAAATATACAGGGGAACTAAAAGATAATGCAATAAAATATGGGTTAATTCTAAGCACCTTTTAAAAATTATATTTTTTCTTTTCTTTTTTCCTGTAAAGAATTTTGTAATTAGAAAGCAGATATATTTATTTATTCTGTTAAAGTTTTCCTTTTAACAGAAAAGGAAACCTCTGTTAGCAAGAACACAGGACTGGTTATGTGGGAGGAGGAGGCGTCATTCCTGCGGAAGCCCTATCCTATAGGGAGAAGGGCAGGGCCAGGAGGAAGCAAAGGCAGGAAGCAAGGACTCTTGCTCTGCCCTAACTTGGCCAGTGGAGGCAGCGAGGAGCTAAGGATCACTCCTTCTTTCCTTCCCTCTCCACAGGCAACTCTGCAGGGAAGTGTGTAACCATCTGGCCAGACTTAGGGCTCATGCTCTGGCCAGAGTCATGCCATTCCAGACACTGCTGCCTGTCCTGGTTCTCTGTGTGTTGCTGCTGCAGGCCCAGGGAGGATACCGTGACAAGAAGAGGATTCAGAGTAGGTGATGGGCTGCTGGATGGGTGAGGGGCAGTTGGGTAGGGGGAACAGAGGAGCTGTGTCCAGTCTGAGTAGGACCTAGGAGTTGGAATCTCTCTGCATATCCAGCTCTGACCACAATGCTGTGCAGACTCTGGGCTGTCCCAAACCATGGCCCTCCAGCCCCTTAGCTGGTCCTGGGAATAGTAATGGGAATGAAAGGGGAACCTACATCTTCTGTTGTTCATTCCTAATACTTAGAGACAAATGGTAGATCCCATAGTGAAAGGTGAGTCAGGGCTGAGAATCCAATGGGAAAGCAGGACAATTATTCTTTGATTTATGCATATTTGTGAGGAGTAAACATCTAGAAGTGGTTATGAAGCTAGGTGTAGGTGTATAAATGGGTATAAGTGTAGGGTAAATAGGACATACAGCAATGAAAAGTTGGAGTATACAGACCAAAGTTAAGGTTATCATCGAAGGGGCCAGGGGGTGGTGGGAAGGGGTATTAGGGACAGTGACAGTGAGAAGAGGAGAGAGAGGGATGAGAGGCAAGTTCATCTTCTTTTCTGGACTCTGCAAATTCTGGAGAATAAGGGAGGGTTTGGAAATGTCTCAGGCTTCTTTGAACTCTCAGGGTCAGACTGTAGATTCTGTGGGGCTGACTTCACCAAGACCATGATTAATAGGGAGATAGAGTTCTGAATGAACGTGTATGAAGAGGGTCCAGGAAGCGCAGCTATTGAGGTCTACTGGGGTGAGATGGCAGGGTGGGGAGACAGGATTTAAGACACTACCTCAAGCCTGTAATCCCAGCACTTTGGGAGGCCGAGGCGGGTGGATCACGAGGTCAAGAGATCGAGACCATCCTGGTCAACATGGTGAAATCCCGTCTCTACTACAAATACAAAAATTCAGCTGGGCATGGTGGCGTGTGCCTGTAATCCCAGCTACTCAGGAGGCTGAGACAGGAGAATTGCCTGAACCCAGGAGGCGGAGGTTGCGGTGAGCCGAGATTGTGCCATTGCACTCCAGCCTGGGTAACAAGAGCGAAACTCCGTCTCAAAAAAAAAAAAAAAGACACTACCAATTACCGCCAGGTGCGGTGGTTCATGCCTGTAATTCCAGCACTTTGGAAGGCCGAGGTAGGCAGATTACGAGGTCAGGAGTTTGAAACCAGCCTGAGCAACATGGTGAAACCCCGTCTCTACTAAAAAAAATACAAAAATTAGCTGGGTGTGGTGGTGAGCGGCTGTAATCCCAGCTATTTGGGAGGCTGAGGCAGGAGAATCGCTTGAATCCAGGAGGTGGAGGTTGCAGTGAGCTGAGGTTGCAGTGAGCCGAAATCACGCCACTGCACTCCAGCCTGGATGACAGAAAAAGAGTCTGTCTAAAATAAATAAATAAATAAAATAATTTAAAAAATAAAGATACTACCAATCACTAGGATGGGCTAGAAGGAAGTTCCCTGAAAAGTGCAGGAGAGTCGTGGCGGGGGATGGGCGGGAGGCTTGGCTCTGCCTTGGAGGAGCTTCAGGCTTGAGAAGGGTGTTCTGTAGGTGCGTGGTTTCATTGACGGCTCCTGCACCATTTCAGGAATCAAGATCTGTAAGAAGCAACCCAGCATAGATCTATGTATCCACCGCTGTTCATATTTCCAAAAGTGTGAAGCAAATAACATATGCTGTTCAGCCTTCTGCGGGAACGTTTGCATGAGCATCCTGTGAGTAGGAGAGTGGGCTGGGGTGTGCATCCTGATCCCTGCACCCTTCCATCCGACACTGTGCCCACATCCAAAGCACAAGGACTTCAAATCACCAGCACAAGAACATCAACATGAATGTCGCCCTCCCTCCTGCCTGAACTCCTTGTCCCGGTCAAATAAACCAGAACAAACACCCAGGGATCCTGCTTCTTTTGCTGCCACTACAGGTGATTACTGAGAGCCCACTGTAGCCCCCACAGATGCCCCTTTCTTCTTGGTTCTTGGTCTTCGATTTCTCTCCCTGGTTATGCTTCTCTACCCTCCCTGTCCCTCTGTGGCCCATGAATCCCTGCCAGCCCTCAGGAGGCTCAGCCTCTTGCTGTTTTGCTCATTGAACCAGTACCCCCAGGGGGAGAAAAGTCTCATGTGCAGCATCTCCCTATGCTAAGGAGAATATTTTTCACCCTGGAGTCAGAAGGACCCATTAAGCATGAGATGGGTGGTGGTTAGAACCAGAGGTAAAGAGCGGGAGACCCCAAAGCACTGCTTTGCTCTCCTTAGCCTTGGGGCACCCCCAAGGCTAATCCCCAATCTCTTTCTGAGGCTCAGATTACTGTCTCTTGACAATGAGGATAATGAGGCCCAGGAAGGCCAGTGACATGCTTGAGGCACAAGAGAGTGAGAGGATATGACATGGCTAGAAGAGGGTGTTTCTTCTAGGCTCCCTTTTTGCTCACTTCTCTCCATTACCTGAGACCAGAGGCATCCTAGTCAGAGTGAGTGCCTACACCAACCCCAAAATTCGTCCTATGCAGCACCCAGCAACACGGCTACTTCTCTGATGGGACCCAATTTAGGTCTCAGGATCTGACACTCCAGCACCTTCCATGAACAGAATAGTCCCTATCTTTCCCAAGCCCTTTTCCTTAGGGGCTCATTCTCTTTTCTTTTGATCAAGAGGAAGTCCAAGGGGTGGGAAACATGTTGTCCATGCTGCAGCTGCTAAGGGGTAATTGGCGCAGAGTGGCTGTGGGTCTTGTCTGTCATCCTACTGTGAGTTGGTAAAATTAATCACTGCGGTAGAGACTCTTTCTTACTCTATGCAATCACAACTCCTCTGAAATGATCTTGGGTTCGGTCACATGTGTCAAATGTGAAGAGGATTCAAGTGGACAGGTCATGTCCAGAGGCAGGTGTGCAGTGTTATGCTCCAGTCTAGTGCTTCTTGCTGGGCCATTCAATGAAAGAGACATCAGTGATGAAAATTTTCCCCTCAGACCAGAGGCTGTGATCCACCTCAGAGGCATCACTGAGCTCTGGGTTTTTTTCAGGCTCGTCTTTACCTATGCCAAAAGCTTCTCTTGGACAAGGGCATCTTAGAAAAGAGATCATGACCAACCACCATCACAGACATCACCAGAGGTAGGCGGGGGATGGTCTCCAAGAGATTTATTTGGTGCTACCTTGGATAGTCTCCCTTACCAAGCATTACCTCAGGCCATCTCCAAACATGGCTAGGAGACACTATTTAGAGAGACAAATTTACCTGTCAGGGACCACATAGAGAATGACCTCCCCCATTCAAGTTCAGTGCACTGTACCATGTGGACATGCCATGGGTGTCCAGTTGACCTATTCCCTGTCACTGGCATAAGCATCAGAGACTATGAATTTTACTGGAAGCAGTTGCCCTTCTTTCTTCTAATCACGGGTGCCCTGACCTGTGTTCCAGAGAGTTCTCTGGATAGCTCACAATGCCCCAGGGAACTCAAGGCTGAAAGGAGTGCCCATTTGGTTATGACCGTGTGCTCTGTCTTCTATGAAAACACCTATGTGCCCTCATATTATGTAGAGTAGGGTAGTGAGGCCCCTTAGAAGAATGTGAACATCTTGGAGGCAGCAGAAGAAGCAAATGCAAATTCTTCCAAAATCTGGATCTCCAAAATGTCAAGTTCTAGCCTGAAAAGAATCACACATGAGGCCTGTTCTGTTTGAGAGCAAACACATAATCTTATGGTTGCCACTGCTTTTGCATTATTTGCTCTCTTTCTATCTCCCAGACCATGCTGCTTTTCCATGTGAATGTAATTGTTTTGGGGCACTATGAACTGTGCCTGTATAAGATGGTGAGCATAATTGATAAATGCATGTGTTCTGACTGCTCCACTGGCCAGCTCTGTCCCTGTCTCTCTCCCTCTTCTTAGGCCTTCCTATTATCTGAGACCCAGCAATATTGAGATTGGGCCAATTAATAACCTTGCACTGGTCTCCAAGTGTTCAAATGAAAGGAAGAGTCACACATCTCTCACTTGAAATCAAAAGCTAGAAATGATAAAGCTTAGTGAAGAAGGCATGTTGAAAGCTGAGACAGGCTGAAAACTAGCTCATTTGCATCAGTTAGCCACGTTGGGAATACAAAGGAAAAGTTTTTGAATGAAATCAAAATGGCTACTCCAGTGGACACATGAATGATAAGAAGTAAAAACAGCCTTATTGCTAATATGAAGAAAGTTTTAGTGGTCTGAATAGAATGTCAAACCACCCACAACATTCTCTTAAAGCCTAATCCAGACAAAGACTATAACTTGCTTCAATTTTATCGAGGCTGAGAGGTGAGGAAGCTGCAGAAGAAAAGTTAGCAGTGATCGGTTCATGAGAAACCATCCCCATAAAATAAAAGAGCAAGGTGAAGTAGCAAGCGACGATGTAGAAACTGCAGCACGTTACCCAGAGGATCTAGTTAAGATAAGCGATGAAGGTATCCACACTAAACAGCAGATGTTCAATGTAGAGGAAGCAGCCTTCTGTTCGAAGAAGATGGCATCTAGAACTTTCATAGCTAGAGAGCACAGGACAACTCTTTTGTTACGGGCTGGTGGAGCTGGTGACCTTAAGTTGAAGCCAATTCTCATTTACCATTCTGAAAATCCGTGGTCCCTTCAGAATTATACTAAATCTATTCTGCCTGCACTCTAGAAATGAAACAACCAATCCTGGATGATAGCACATGATTTATATTAAGTCCATGATTTACATCATGATTTATATTAAGGCCACTTTCGAGACCTACTGCTCAGAAAAGAAGTTTCCATTCAAACATTACTGCATATTGACAATGTGCCTGGTCACTCATGAGCTCTGATAGAGATGTGCAAGAAGATTAATGTCATTAAAAAGTCAGGAAACAACTGATGCAAGAGAGGATGTGGAGAAATAGAAATGCTTTTACACTGTTAGTGGGAGTGTAAGTGTAAAAAGTTTTGTTTTTTCCATTTTTCTTCTTCATCCTCCTTCTTTTCAAAAGTCAACGAGAGCCTTCGCTGACTCCACTGAAGAGGTGCACCGCAGGAGGCCACTCTGATGCCGGGCGCCCACCCAGGGACACACACAGTCCTTGCTGTGCCGCAGCCAGATGAAGTCTCTCAGATGGGTGGGAAGGTCAGCTCCTTCCAGCGATCATTTTATTACTTTTGTTTTTAATTTTAACCATAGTGCACATATTCAAGGGAAGTGTCTTTAAAAACAAAAACAAGCCCTGAAATGTATATTTGGGATTGTGATAAGGCAACTAAAGACATGAAACCTCAGGTATCCTGCTTTACGTGGAGAACTCCTTCTGGGAGCTGGAGAATCGCTCTGGTGGATGGGTGTACAGATTTGTATATAGTGTCATTTTTATGGAAACCCTTTCGGCGTGCATAAGGAATCACTGTGTACCAAGTGCTTCTGTAGATAATCTCAGTGGAGTAAATATTCTAGGCCATAACTTGAGTCTATTGCCTTGCCTTTATTACATGTAAATTTTGAATTCTGTGACCAGTGATTTGGGTTTTATTTTGTATTTGCAGGGTTTGTCATTAATAATCATCAATGCCCCTCTCTTACAGAACATTCCTGTTTGTACCTCAACAAATGCAAATTTTCCTCTTGTTTGCCCTGCACCTCTTTTGGTACACTTAAAGGTTGATTTCCTTTTTCATTGACAGTACTATTTCTTAGGGTTTTAAATCGGAACATATCTTGCCTCATGAAACTTTAAATTATTATTTTTCGTTTCTCCCCATGAAGCGCTCTCGTCTGACATTTGTTTGGAATTGTGCCACTGCTGGTCTGCACCAGATGGACCATCCTATCTAATACGATTTTTTGTTGCACCTTGTAGTGGATTCTGCATATCATCTTTCCCACCTAAAAATGTCTAAATGCTTACATGAATAAATTTTATAACATGCTTAAAAAAAATGGAAGTCCTAGCCAGAGCAATCAGACAAGAGAAAGAAATAAAGGGCATTCAAATCAGTAAAGAGGAAGTCAGTCACTGTTTGCTGAAGGTATGATCGTTTACCTTGAAAACTCTAAAGACTTCTCCAGAAAGCTCCTAGAACTGTTAAAAGGATTCAGCAAAGTTTCCAGATACAAGATTAATGTACACAAATGTATAGCTCTTCTATACACCAGCAGTGACCAAGAGGAGAATCAAATCAAGAACTCAATCCCTTTTACAATAGCTGCAAAAACAAACAAACCCAAAAAACAAAACAAAACAAAAAAATCTTATGAATACACTTAATCAAGGAGGTGAAAGACCTCTACAAGGAAAACTACAAAACACTGCTAAAAGACATGATAGATGACACAAACAAATGGAAACATATCCCATGCTCATGGATGGATAGAATCAATATTGTGAAAATGACCATATTGCCAGAAGCAATCTACAAATTTAATGCAATCCCCATCAAAATGCCACCATCATTCTTCACAGATAAAACAATTCTAAAATTCATATGGACCAAAAAAAGAGCCCACATAGCCAAAGCAAGACTAAGCAAAAAGAACAAATCTGGATACATCGCACTACCTGATTTCCAACTATACTATAAGGCCATAGTCACCAAAACAGCATGGTACTGGTATAAAAATAGGCACATAGACCAATGGAAAATAATAGAAAACCCAGAAATAAACTCAAACGCTTATGGCCAACTGATCCTCGACAGAGCAAATAAAAACAAGGTGGGGAAAGACCACTCTTTCTTTTCTTTCTTTCTTTCTTTCTTTTTTTTTTTTTTTTTTTTGAGATGGCATCCTGCTCTGTTACCCAGGCTGGAGTGCAGTGGCACGATCTCAGCTCACTGCAACATCTGCCTCCTGGGTTCAAGCCATTTTCCTGTCTCAACCTCCTGAGGAGTTGGGACTACAGATTCACACCACCACACCTGGTTAATTTTTGTATTTTTAGTAGAGACAGGGCATTACCATATTGGTCAGGCTGGCCTTGAACTTCTGACCTCAGGTGATCCACTCGTTTTGGCCTCCCAAAGTGCTGGGATTACAGGCATGAGCCATCATGCCTGGCCAGGACACCCTTTTCAACAAATAGTGCTGTGATAATTAGCTAGCTATGTGTAGAAGAATGAAACTGGATCCTCATCTCTCCCCTTATACAAAAATCAACTCAAGATGGATTAAGGACTTAAATCCAAGGCCTGAAACTATAAAAATTCTAGAAAACAACATTGGAAGAACCTTTCTAGACATTGACGTAGGCAAGGATTTCATGACCAAGAACCCCAAAGCAAATACAATTAAAAGAAAGATAAATAGCTGGGACTTAATTAAACTAAAGAGCTTTTGCATGGCAAAAGAAGCAGTTAGCAGAGTAAACAGATAATGCACAGAGTGGGAGAAAATCTTTTCCATCTATACATCTGACAAAGGATGAAGACCCAGAATCTACAAAAAAACTCAAATTAGCAAGAAATAAATAAACAATCCCATCAAAAAGTGAGCTAAGGACATGAATAGACAATTCTCAAAAGAAGATATACATAATATTCCATGGTGTATATGTGCCACATTTTCCCTGTCCAGTCTATCATCGATGGGCATTTGGGTTGGTTCCAGGTCTTTGCTATTGTAAACAGTGCTGCAATGAACATTCGTGTGCACGTGTCCTTATAGTAGAACGATTTATAATCCTTTGGATATATACCCAGTAATGGGATTGCTGGGTCAAATGGAATTTCTATTTCTAGGTCCTTGAGGAATCGCCACACTGTCTTCCACAACGGTTGAACTAATTTACACTCCCACCAACAGTGTAAAAGTGTTCCTATTTCTCCACATCCTCTCCAGCATCTGTTGTCTCTAGATTTTTTAATGATCGCCATTCTAACTGGCGTGAGATGGTATCTCAATGTAGTTTTGATTTGCATTTCTCTGATGACCAGTGATGATGAGCACACTTGGGTCTGTTGGGGGGAAATAGCTGAGGGTCAGTGGGGGGTGGGGAGTTGGGAAGAGATAGCATGGGGAGAAATGCCAGATATAGGTGACGGGGAGGAAGGCAGCAAATCACACTGCCACGTGTGTACCTATGCAACAATCTTCCATGTTCTTCACTTGTACCCCAAAACCTAAAATGCAATAAAATAAATTTTAAAAAAAGAAGATATACAAATGGCCAATGAACATATGAAAAAATTCTCAACATCACTAACGATCAGGGAAATGCAAATCAAAACCACAATGCGATACCATCTTACTCCTGCAAGGATGACCATAATAAAAAAAATTTAAAAAACAGTAGATGTTGGTGTGGATGCAGTGATCAGGGAAAACTTCTACACTGCTGGTGGGAATGTAAACTAGTATGGCCGCTATAGAAAACAGTGTGGAGATTCCTTAAAGAACTAAAAGTAGAACTACCATTTGATCCAGCAATCCCACTACTGGATATCTACCTAGACGGAAAGAGTCATTGTACAAAAAAGATACTTGAACACACCTGTTTATAGCAGCACAATTTGCAATTGCAAAATCATGGAACCAACCCAAATGCTTATCAATCAACGAGTGGACAAACTGTGGTATATATATACAATGGAATACACGATGGTGATGAAATAATCTATACAACAAACTCCTGTGACACTAGTTAGCTTATATAAACAAACTTCACATGTGCCCCAAACCCAAAATAAAAGATTAAAAAAGTTTTTTTTGTAAGCCGAATTTGAATTATATTTTAATCAAAATAAGGCAACACATTAATTTTTTTTTCCAGCAAAAGGAAAACATGGAGTGTGAGATGGAGAGATTTATTTTGGCAAAGGCAATGCTCAGCTTAGGCAGGCCAGTTGTTGGGTAGGCAAAGGGCAAGGGGGAACAAAGAGAAGATAAAGAATGAAGAAATTGGGCAAGCACTTTCTCTTGCTTCCCTATTTATATGTCTTTCCAGCAGCAACAGGGAAGAAAAATAATCCTTTAGACAACATATATTCAGACACATATGGTCAGCCTCATGAAGCTCTGGATACCCCTGCACATGACATTCTTCTGTACGATGCTACTATCTGTGCTGGGAGGAACGAGGAGAAGATATTACAGTAGGTGACGAGGCTGGATTAGGGGCCACAGGAGGAGCATGAGCTTGTTCTTGAACAAGGGAGGGGGTTTCATGTCTGCTGTATCTGACTCAAGACCTACCTTCATAGGATCGCCCATTAGAGATGAGACAACTTTGTATGCACAGAGATCCAAGAAATCCCTAAGCTGAGGTCCTTCAATGCTTCCTCTTTTAACCTTGAAAGTAGCAATATCTGTCTCTCTTTACATACATATATATATGTCTATATACATATAAAATATGTATAAAAATATTTTTATAAAATAAAATATTTTTATAAAAAGTTGAAAATATTTTTATCTTTATAGCTTATACTATATATAAGAAAATATTTGGTATATATGAAAATATTTTTATCTTTGTAGCTTATGTATATATATATATTATAGCTTATGTGTGTGTGTGTGTATATATATATATATATAAAAATATATATGCTATAAAGATAAAAATATTTTTAAATGTTAGGCTGTCTTTGAGGATGAGATGTCAGTATAGAGCTAATCCTGTAACTCTATACTGGTATACCTGTGCCCTAGCTGCATATGCTTTGTTAGATGAGTAGCAAATGGGCATTTCTTAAAACATACCCTTAGTTTTAGTGGCAATGCTTTAAAAATGTTAAAAGTTAGGAAAGAGGCTTGAGATGGGTTCTTAGTGGGGCAATATTGGGAGTCATATAATCAGAAAATGGAATGAATGGAGGTGCTAAGAAAACAGAGAGATAAGAATTTGCAGAGAGGCTGAGTTATTAAACAGAGTCAGCAAGTAGGAAAAGAAAAAGGGAGAGAATCTGTTTCTTACTTGACCTGGCCTAGCTTCCCATACTGTGAAATAGGCATTGCAATGAGGCTACAAGATATGCCAGGCCCTGAGATATCCTGTTATGTAAATGCAGATTTTACAGGAGGGCACATGAAGGCTGGGGGTTGACTGAGTTCTCTCGTTGGGATGCTCAGCGAGGACACAGAGGCCTGCAACACTCGTAAAGCCTGAAGAGACCGAGAAGGAAAAGAGGTTAGTGAAGATGCAGTGGGGTCAGTGAAGGTATAATGACGAATTTGAGCAGGTTCATGAAGGCAATTTCTTTAAAAAGCAAATAAATATATTGGTCAGTGTAAGGCCAGTTGCCTCGCTGGGAGCTGAATGGACACACCCACCCCTCTCTGTGCCTAATAACTGCGTCATCACCTCAAGCTCATTATCTGGCCCCGCCACATGGCTTTCCCACACCTGCCTCTGCATACTATACCCAAGCCCGTACTCAGCACCAAACTATGCACCTGACCCCAGCACGCTGTTAAAAAACCCCGCCAAAAAAATTTAAAGAAGCCCCACCAAACCCTGCCCAATGGCCCCCAGGTCCACTTACCCAGATTCCAACCCGCCTACCAATAACAGCTGACTCCATGCACATCCTGTTTCCCAACAGCCAATAAAGCTGCCTTCGCTTTGTTTCCCAAAAGCCAATCAATTGCCTCCCCTCCCCATAAAACTCACGCCCTAAACAGCCAGGCACAACTTCTTTAGCCCCTTCTTAAACCACAAAACCTCGCCTGGAAGCTAAATAAATTAGCTTCTCATTTTCTTATACTTGCCTCAGTTTCCTCATTTTTACCCCAGCAATAAATCTTACAGTCAGAATTCGGGGCCCAGATTCCAGGAGGAGCCCTGAAATGTAGGAAGGCCCTTTCTTTTCACGCTTTGCTGAAAGGTACTATCAACCTTTGACCATCTCGTCTCAATTTCAGAGAAGGAATTGTTACTTGAAGAGTGCTGGGGAAAACCAAATGCTGAAGACTGTACCAAAATGTGTTCTAAAGCCTTTAGATGTGAAGACAAACGTTACAAAGGCTGCTGGACCCATTGTGGAAACATCTGCTGGAAAAATGACGTGAGTTGGGAGATGTTTGCTTGGGTGTTTATCTTCATTGATTCCCATTCCATTCTTGGATGCTGTTATTCCTAAAGAGAAGACTGAGGTACCCCAAATTTTAGGTACAAAAATAGCAGAAGACAATGTGTCTTTGACTTGGAAAGCAATTCACTGGCAAATAAATCAAGACACCAGCTTAGACTCCATTCCTTCTTTCATTATATAATTAATACCTGTGTTGTCTTCTTTGTATTACACAATAGTTTGCTATTTTTCCTAACTTTTGTCCAGAATTCTAACCACTGCCTCCATAGTCAGACTTTCCCATGGGCCCTTTGGCTCAACCAGGCCCAAAGTCTCCACCTTTCTCTGTTCAATAGACCAATACCTCACCTACTCAGAAGTGGACAACTCCTGTTGTTATATTTAAGTATTCTTGTCTTATTGTCTGGTGAACATGGATACTATTAAGCTGGGGGAATGAATGCTTGTTTCTCAGAGTTCTCTAGCCTCTAAAAGTCTAACCTTTTTCTTTTACAGAAAACCTGTGAATGATCACTAAAACCCTAGCTTCCCACCAGGCCGCCACCTATGTGGGCTGGGAAATGTTGAAGAGTTCTCATAGTAGTACCATGTGGCTACTTTTAGGAACATCAGTCTATTTTTGCTCAGGGCTGGACAAGAGCAAACATTTGACAAATGAACTCATTTTCCAATAGCGGCCTTGCCTTTTTTCAGCTCATCTTGCTACCCATGAGTATCCTTATCACTAATCCCCAGTATTGTTCTTCTACATTGTAGACGAGCTTCCGACTTTTGCCATCCCATCTGATAAGCTTAGAACGGATAGGCTAATTTCATGGGCTTCACAGAACAGAATTTTATTTCTGTCCCATTTTTAATGTGGGGAGATTTCAGTAGCACTTTAACTCAGTTGTTTAGAGAGCAGGTCTCTGGTAAATGGTTTCTCATAGAGATATGGATAAACAATTCTAAAACTATTTTCTGTGTACACAAGATTAAACAAGTAAATAACTGGCAGATAATTTGAGTCAGGTTTCTAATTGTCAGAAAAAAGAAATTACAAATAGGCTGACCTCAGCAGCCTTAGGCTCCAGGTCTGCCCAGCAGACTTGATCTCTGGGTCTGCTCTAGCTCCAGGTCAACCCAACAGGCCTCAGTGGCAGACAGGCCCCAGCAGTATCATGTCCCAAGCCCATTCCAGGGCCGGGCAGGCCCCCAAGACCCTAGGCTCTGGACCTTCTCCAGCACTGGGCTGGCCCTCCTAGCTTCAGGCTTCAAGTCTACCCCAGAACCAGGCTGATCCCCCGAGCCCTACTCCTTAGGCCAGCACGTGCAGACTCAGTCTCCAGGCCAGACCCTATAAATACAAGATCCAGGCCCACTCAGTACTAAGCCAACCCCCGCAGCCTCAGGCTTCCCACCCATTCCAGTGCCAGATCAGCTTTCCTGGCCTTAAACACCAGGAAGTTACCCACAGACACAGACTCAGGCCTGTGCAGTGCCAGGGCAGTCTCCATAGCCCCACCCTCCAGTTGACAAAGGTCTAAGAGCCTCAGTAGACTCCAGAGCTGGACCAGCCCTCTTGGCTCTAGGATCTAGGTCAGCTCCAGTGACTTTTTTTGGGGGGTGAGGGTGGGGGACGGAGTCTCACACTGTTGCCCGGGCTGGAGTGCAATGGCACAGTCTTGGCTCACTGCAACCTCTTCCTCTCAGGTTCAAACAATTCTCCTGCCTTAGCCTCCCAAGTAGCTGGGATTACTGGCATCCACCACCACACCTGGTGAATTTTTTTGTATTTTTAGTAGAGACAGGGTTTCACTATTTTGGCCAGGCTGGTCTCGAACTCCTGACCTTGTGATCTGCCCACTTTGGTCTCCCAAAGTGCTGGGATTACAGGCATGAGCTACTGTGCCTGGCCAGCTCCAGTGACTCTAGGCACTGGGTCAGTGCCCATAATCTGAGGCTGCAGACCAGTCCCTGTGGACCAAACTCCACACTAGCCCCAGTACCAAGCTGTCTGCAGGCTCCAGGCCAGTTCATGTTCACCCAAGCTCCATGAACCCAGAGTTCAGGCCTCATACAGCAGATCCAGGGTCCAGGCCCACCCCAGTAGAACTCAGTTCTAGGCCAGATCCCATAGACTGAGGCTCCAAGAACACCCTGCAGACATAAGCTCCAGGACAGCCCTGGTGTACTCAGGCTCGAGACCCATCTCAATAGTCCCCGGTGCCATCCCTCTCCCAGAACTTGGCCAGACCCTGTAGATTCAGGCTCAAGGCCCATCCGAGAGCCAGGTTAGCCCCTGTGGACCCAGGCATCAGGCTGGCCTTCACTGATACAAAGTCCAGGCCTACCTTCATGAACCCTGGCTCCAACACCATTCCTGCAGACCCAACCAACAGGTTCACCCCAGTGGATCCAGGCTTCAGCCCCAACCCTGTGGACTCAAGCACCAGGCCCACCTACCTCCTGACCCAGGAACCAGGCTAGTCTGGCTGATGACTCTAGCAGCAATTATGACCTTGGATCATGCCAGATGGCCTGTCCAGAACCTCTGGATGACTAATAAAGGGTTTTTCAAGACAAAACTAGTCTTCAAAGACTGGAATGTCCTTATTTCTTCAAATGCACAGACATTAATGTAAGGCAATAAGAAGAAAACAAACTGAGGAGAACACCGAAAGAACACAGTGATCTCCTAGCAGCTGATACCAAAGGAATGGAGATGTACAAACTGCCCAATAGACAATTCAAAATAATTGTTTTCATGAAGATCAGCGATCTTCAAGAAAATACACAGAAACAATTCAAATCAAATCGGGCAAACAATAAAATGGCTAAAATGTTAAATTAATGAGAGATTGAAATTATAGAACATAATAAACAGAAATCAAATATCAATCAAACTGGAGCTGAAAAATACAATGAACGAAATGAAAAACGGAATAGATAAGAAATTGAGCAGAAAAAGTATTTGTGAAATTAAAGATAGGTTATTTGAAAATATACAGAGAAGAAAAAGAGAATGAAAAGGAATGAAGAAGGCTTACAAGACTGCTGGGTGCGTGCCTCATACCTGTAATCCCAGCACTTTGGGAGGCTGAGGTGGGAGTATCGCTTGAGTCCAGGAGTTTGAGACTAGCCTGGGTAACAAGGTGAGACCCCCCTGCCCTCTACAAGAAAATTTTCTTCACTGATGTCTCTTTCATTGAATGGCCCAGCAAGAAGCACTAGACTGGAGCATAACACTGCACACCTGCCTCTGAGAAATCTTCACATTTGACTCCATGTCCCAATTAGGCACATGTGACCCAAGCCTGGATCTAGCCCCAGGATCATTTCAGAGGAGTTGTGATTGCACAGAATAGGAGATTCTGTACCACAGTGATTAATTTCCACCAACTCACAGTAGGATGACAGGTAAGACCCACAGCCACTCTGTGCCAACTACTCTTTAGCAACAGCAGCATGAACCACCTGTTCCACATCCCTTGAGGTTCCTCTTGATCTAAAGAAAAAGAGAATGAGCCGGCCTCTAAGGAAGAGAGCTTGGGAAAGATAGGGACTATTCAGTTAATGGAAAGTACTGGAGTGTCAAGTCCTGAGACCCAAATTGGGTCCCATCAGAGGAGTAGCCATGTTGGTGGGTGCTGGATAGGAGAAGCTTTGGGGTTGGTTTAGGCACTCACTCTCACTAGGATGCCTCTGGTCTCAGGTAAAGGAGAGAAGTGAGCAAAAAGTGAGGCTAGAGGAAACACCCTCTTCCAGCCACATCATATCCTCTTACTCTCTTGTGGGGTTGGGCTTGCTGGACTTCTTGGGACTCATTATCTTCATGATAAATAGACAGTAATCTGAACCTTACAGAGAGGTTAGGGATCATGGGGCGGCGGTGCACCAAGGCTAAGGAGAGCAAAGCAGTTCTTGGGGGCCTCCCACTCTTTTACCCCCCCGGGCTCTAACCGCCACCCACCTCATGCTTAATGGGTCCTTCTGACTCCAGGGTGAGAAATATTCTCCTTAGTATTGGGAGATGCTGCACATGAGCAGTTTCTACCCCAGCGGGTACTGGTTCAGTGACCAAAGCAGCAAGGGGCTGAGCCTCCTGAGGGCTGGCAGGGATGCATGGGTAGAGAAGCATAATCAGGGAGAGAAATTAAAGACCAGGACACAAGAAGAGAAGGGCATTTGTCGGGGCTACAGTGGGCTCTCAATGATCACCCGTAGTGGCAGTATAAGAGGCAGGATCCCTGGGCATTTGTTCTGGTTTATTTGACAGGGACAAGGGGTTCAGACAGTGGGGAGGGTGGTATTCCTATTGACATTCTTGTGCTGGTGACTTGAGGTCCTTGTGCTTCGGGCGTGGGCACAGTCTTGGATAGAGTTGGTAAGCAGTATGCACATCTTCCTGCCCACTCTCCAACTCACAGGATGTTCATGCAAACATTCCCACAGTAGGTAGAACAGCATATGTTATTTGCTTGACAGTTTCGGTGAAATTCACAGAAACGTTGGCATAGATATGGTTCAGGCTGTTGCTGACAGACTTTGATTTCTGGGGATAGCTGTGTTTCTGAAAAGGAGAAAAAGAAGGGTAAATAAATGCAGCTTCCTAGAGGACATCTTTCTCAACCTAAAGCTTCCGCCAAGACCCTTGAACCCAGGTCTCATTCATGACACTCCTGGACTCCCTCTTCATAGAACTACCTTCTTGTCCATCACCACATCCTAGTGATTGGTCGTATTTTAAATCCTGCCTCTCCTTTGTACACCTTACCCCAATAGACCACAATGCCTGGCCTTCCTGGACCTACTTCATACACCAGCAATCAGAACTCCATTTCCCTTACTAGTCATGGCCTTGGTGAAGTCACCCCCATAGAATTTACAGTCTGACCCGGAGAGCTCAAAGAAGCACGAGACATCTTTCAAACTCTCCCCTACTCTCTGAGTAGCAGAATTCAGAGATGATAATGAACTTGCCTCTTGTCTCTCCTTCTCTTCTGTGCACTGTCACTGTCTCTAGTCTTCCTGGCCCTTCTTTAGTTTCCTTTCCACCACCACTCTCCCTGTTCCTTTGATGATAACCTTAGCTTGGCCCTGTATAGGCCAACTTTTGCTTGTTTTATGTCCTATTTCCCTACATGTATACCCATTCTACACCTACACCTACCTTCATAACCACTTCTAGATGTTTACTCCTCACAAAGAATAATTGTCCTGCTTTCCCATTGGATTCTCAGCCCTGGGTGCACCTTTCATTATGGGATCTACCATTTGTCTCTAAGTATTAGGAATGAACAACAAAAGATGTAGGTTCCCCTTTCATTCCCATTACTATTCCCAGGGCCAGCCAAGGGACTGGAGGGCCATGGTTTGGAACAGCCCAGAGTCTGCACAGCATTGTGGTCAGAGCTGGATATGCAGAGAGATTCCAACTCCTAGGTCCTACTCAGACTGGACACAGCTCCTCTGTTCCCCCTACCCAACTGCCCCTCACCCATCCAGCAGCCCATCACCTACTCTTCATCCTCTTCTTGTCACGGTATCCTCCCTGGGCCTGCAGCAGCAACACACAGAGAACCAGGACAGGCAGCAGTGTCTGGAATGGCATGACTCTGGCCAGAGCATGAGCCCTAAGTCTGGCCAGGCAGTCACACGCTTCCCTGCAGAGTTGCCTGTGGAGAGGGA